AACAGCAAAAAAGGGGTTATTTTAGTTGTTTTCTTTTTTATTTAAAATTGGCCCAGAGGATTGTTGAAAAGTAATCCTGTTAAGGCTCTGCGGTACTCTGTTTCTGAAGAGAGTCTTCTTTTGGTTTCCAATCATTCAAAGAACATGTGACAATAATAACAACAAACCTAAGTAAATACCTGTTTTCCTTTTCTGACTTCTTGGTAGCTAAAGCAAAGAAACCCGACCCTGGTGTGCTGCCGCTGTTTACATTTCTGTCTCCTTTGAAGCACAGCATGCATGACGGTTATCCACTGTGGCTCCGTCTCCGGAGGAATCCGAAGGCATGCTCCTTTAGAAAACATACACAGCGCCCTCACAAACAGCCTTCCTTTGCATCTTCAAAGTAAGGCTGGCCTGGCTCTGTGACATCATGATTCTCTAAAGTGGCTTGGGCTGGGAACGTTTCTGTGGCCTTTGAGATAATAACATTTTCCAAGCTTGTAAATATGGATGGTGAATAATGAGTCTGAGCAAGGAGTGTTTATCAAAGTCCATCAGATAAGAGCCACACGAAATTAACTTGTTTTTGCTTCAGTCCTAGATGCAGATAGGGCAACTATTAAGGACGCTTTTGTTAAAATGGTTCTGAAAATACATTAGAAGTTTAGCCATAAGCCAATGAAAAAGTTGGACGTCCGTCGTGATTCATGTTTTTCATTCTTTGAGAAAGTGTATATTCTGGTTTTAATGGGAGGAGATGCTAAGCTACTTAGTTACCAGGACAGAAGCCTTTCTTGGTATACCCTTTTAAAAGGTTTTAATTCTAGGCATGCCTGGGTGGCTCAGTTGGTTAGGCATCTGACTTCAGCTCAGGTCATGATCTCACGGTTCATGGTTTCAAGCCCGGTGTTGGACTCTGTGCTGACAGCTCTGAGCTCAGAGCCTGGAGCCTGCCTTGGGGTTCTGTGTCTCCCTCTCTCTCTCTCTGCCCCTCCCCCACTTGCATTTTCTCTCTCTCAAAAATAAATAAAAACAATAAAAACATTTTAACGCTTTTAATTCTGAAATGATTTTAGATTTACAGAAGAGTTGCAAAGATAATATAAAGGGTTTCCAGGAACCTTTCACCCAACTTCCCCTAATGTTAAAATCTAATGTAACCATGATACGTTTATCAAAATCTTGGAGTACTTTTAAATAACATTTTGGACCTAATCTCATGAAAAGGAAGATACTTGAGCTCTGACAGCAATAGAAGAAGGTAAAGTATATTAAGAACAAGAATTTTTTAATTTTTAAATTATTATTTTAGTTCACCAGAAATTTTAGCTGAGAAAAGAAGCAGAAGGCATAACCTTAAGCGTAAGTGACACCGTATTATCCTCTTTGTCTAAAGTGGCTTGGGGGCGTTTCTGTGGCCTTGGGGTTGGAGTTCCAGATGCCCAAGTAGGATCACAGACCTCCAAACTGTAGGTCCCCAGGCTAGCGAGATAACCTTTGAAAACCATGTCTAAGAAAGGATACCAGGGGTTATAATCTCAGTGTTAGTCTGTGAATCAAATTGCAGCCGGTTCTTGTTCTCATGGAATCCCAATAGATACTCTCTCATACTCCCTAGTCTGGCTTTTACTTCCTGACTCAGTGGCAGCCTGTTCTCTCGTGAAAAGCCTGCATCCCGCGTACCCCCTCACTGTGATATATGATGTGTACCGTGAGCTGCTGTTCACTGATCAGAGCATTGTTGGACCTCCCCTCTCCGAGGTTCCCTGACCTCCCACCATCTCCCTGTCCTGTGTACGCATCCTGCACAAACTTCTATCGTTGCAAATAATTAAACTTTCATTACTGTAATTACTTGCTTGTCTGCGCATTTTCCTCACCGAATTTGAAAACTTTTCAAGAAATAAGCATGTCTTTATCTCCATTTCCTTAGGAATAGCCTCATTGCATGAAATACAGTAGGCACTCAACAAATGAATACATATGAAGCTCATTTTAACTCTTGCCCTCCTAATTATGGATAAGCTAACTTCTTCCTTAAATTTTCACGCTTCGTCTGGAATAAGGACATTCCAAGTAGAAATCCTCAAGTTAATGTTTCTCAGTGTGTGGGTTGTAGACTACCCAGGTGAGGATCATTTGGGAAATGGTTAAAAGACCATAACACAGACTTATCAGATCTGAATCTCTGGGGAATGCACCCTAGAGCTATTCTTTTTAATAAGATTTTCAGATGCTTTTGATGTGCACTGAAGTTTGAGAACCCCTGCCTTGGAGCAGGAGTTTCATTAATCCATCAACTGGGTTTTTTCCATCCCTTTCCAACCGTGGAGGTTTTGAAGTGAATATGATCAATCATATGACAGTGAATTAAATGAAATAACAGCCCATTAGTAGCAGGGAAGAGGAGATTTCTGGTTGGTTTAGTGTAATAGATACTATGACTTAGCTCCAAGTTGGATTCTGAGATACATGCCAGATAGGACAAAAGAACAAAGTAAAAATAAAGTACAGCATTCTCACTACAAGAAGGGAAACAAAAGGCCAATTTCTCAGGAGAGACCGTTTCCCCCCCCATGTGCTGAATTTTTAAAGCAATTTCTCACTTAGGATTGACCTTGAAGCAGTGAGTGATGGAAGGATCGATATTTTCAACAAGATTTTTTTGGCAAACAGCTATTTCTGTAGTGAGTAAAATAGGCAGTAGCTCAAGATGCACGCTAAGGTTGCTTTGACTTTCCTGTTGTGTAGACTATGTTTTTTGTACAGGCTGACTCTAACCAGCCCCTTTCCAGTTTGCCAGTAAGGGCGTGTCTTCACACAGCTTCTTAGAGAAGCTTTCTCCCATCACTTGTCACAGTGGGGCCAAACCAAAGTTATAATCTCTAACAAGTACCAAGCATGCAGGTATAAAGCATTGCTGATTGAGGGTAGATTTATGTGCTTTGGAAACAAGAGGAGCAGTTGGTAATGTTGACATTCTATTTGTGAAATATGAGAAGGCTAACCAGTAATATTCTCTGGGTAGAATGTAAACCATGTAAACAACAGGCAACAATACCAACAACAGCCAATATTTATCAAAGAGTTACCATGCGGACACGGTATATATGCTCTCTTAGTCTACTTGTAAGAACTCTTCACTCTAACTAATGGTGCCCCCATTTCACAAATGAGGACATAGACTTGCAAAGGTTGGGGAAATTGTCACGTAACTAGCAAGAGGCAGAGTCAGGATTAGCACCCAGATCTGTCTGATGCTGAAGCATGTGGGTACTCCAGCATGCTGGTCTGTGAAACATAAACATAGAGAAAGGAAAAACTCAAGAATGGGGCAGTGGAAGATATCCTGGCCTGGGAACCAAGACGTCCAGGCTCCTTGCTAACTTGGGAAAAAGTACTGATTATCTAGTCTCAAGTTTCCTGATCTGCAGAATGAGGGACTGGATTATGACTTCAGGTTTAAAATCTATGATTACTCTTCTGATGGAACCAAAATTAATAAAAATTGCTTCTATTTAAAGAAAGATGTAGGGTTTTGTTTTGTTTCGTTTTTTTTTTGTGTGTGTGCCATTGAATTTGATTGCTTCTACCTCAAAGATAAATATACCACATAGAGTAAAAAGCTGTAACTATCTCCACAAGTGTTTTTAAATCAATGCTTCCATTGTGCAAAAGTTAACATTAGTCCTAGAACTAACACTGAAAACTAGGATCTGAGTGACTGCTCTGTGTGATCTAAATACAACATATAAGGTACAGAGTATTACTGAGCTCATTTTACAGGTGGGGAAACTGAGGCACAAAGAGACTAAGTAACCTTCCTGACATTACACAGGCGGTGAGTGGTAGAGCCAGGATCTGAACCAGGGTCTGAACTCCGGAGTTTACTCCAGACTCTGGAGCCCATGCAGCTTTCTTGAGAATCTAGAGCCCATGTTATCAGCCAAAACATTGAAGTTCACTCCAAAAATCATGCTTGACTAGTTTATCATTCCTGGAGATGAATATACTAATTACAATTTGAAAGTCATATATTTGATTTCTGAAGGAAATAACTGAAGGTAACGTTATTTGAATTCCGTATTGCCGTGGAAGTTCTAATAGCTTTCCATTATATCTTTTCATGATTTGAAACTGTTACATTTTGAAATTAAGGCCAGTGAAGGCATGGCCTTCTCTCTCTGTCTCGCACAGTGTGAGATGAGTCTGTGTTGGATGAATTAATGCATTAAAGGGAAAGAACTTTTTTGTGTATGTATGCTTGAACTTGTGTCTCTCGTTTTAATACCTAAAAAGTGAAAATCAAAGCTCACTCTAATTAGAGTATGCATAATTAGAGTATGCACAGTAACTTTTCATTTGAAATAATATGCTATTCATATTATATTAAACAATTTGATCAACTTAAACAATTTAAGACAAATCTTTGAGTCACATTTTTTTTCCTTCACGCCTGCAGTTAAAGAGGGCCACCTTGTTCTTTAACTTGACATATTATCTGTTCAGTGCTATGATCATTATAGAACCTCTTCTTTCCTTAGAGAATTTCACTGGCAACTCTTCAACTAAAGGACCACTTTACCAGTGTTTCTTGAAAGCACCCAAGAGCTTTTGAGGTGGGAATACAACATAATAGTCCCTCAAGTGGAAATCAGTGGGTAGAACTGTTCTTTTAGAGCATGCACCTTACTAACCATGCAGATTTAATTTTCCCCACGGTCACCCGCGGGGATAGCAAAGGTTTATGCCTTTTTCTCTGGCTCAGTGTTTAGACACACAATGTACTCATGACAGCAAATCAAACCTGTTAGTGGCATCAAGCAAGTAGAACTGATGCCGGGAACAGGGCCACCGCAAATTTTATTAAAACTGCAATCACTGAGAACACAGCACACACGTTGGGATTTAAATACCTCTCTCTGTGGCATTTGTCATATTAAGAGCTGCAGCATAAACAAAGGAAAAAGCAAATCAAATGGTGTGTAAACATTACATGATCGCTTCCACTTTTCCAGGTGCAGTAAGGAAATCTGATGTCTAGGAAAGAAGGCAGACAGAAGTCTAACATTTTGGAAAATCGTGCTGATCTCTTACAGGTACGTCTATTGATATTTGCCTCTGGGACGTCGCATATGTGTGTGTGTGCGCACGTATATGTGTGTAGGTGTGTATATGCATATATACAGATGTGTGTATGTATATATGTATATATATATATATATACATATATACATATATATATAATGTGTGTATATAATAATTTGTTTTTATCTTTTGGGATTCTACTGTTGTCTGATATACTGCATATGTCTGCAAATAATCTTCCAAAAAAAAAAAAAAAAGCCTTTGAAAGACCAAATCAGCCCTAACGATAAAGCCTTAGACTACAGGGAAGCAGACTGACAGCCCTCAAGGGCCCTGACAAGTGATGGAGATTCATTCACCGAGGCCACTTACATTGGCCAGTTGGCTCACCCTCCCTCCTCACTCCCTAAAATGCCTCTCTCCAGTGCTGAGACAGGGTTCTGCTTTCTGAGGCTCCATGCACATGAGGTCTTGTTAAACATTTGGGAAGCCTGCACTAACCCTCTCCCTCAGAGGGTTCTGTTCTTGGTCTTGGTCTGTTTCTCGAGCTCTCATTTGCAGTTTTGGACTGGTGCTAAGCTACCTTTTCCCACTGGCGATTGTGGACGGATAACCCTCCCTTGCTTCCAGCTCCTCTTCTGCCCAGTATTTTCCTTCATGGCTTAAACCTCCAGGGGTAAACAAGGTAATAGTAGAAAATGCAACTGACAGGGAATCCAATACATCCCAACATACATCTATTTTAAATTGAGCCGCAAACATTCTACACTCAACCAGTTTCCCTATGCAAAGCAGAACTTGTCTGAATGTGAAATTCACGGAATGTAATAAAATCCACACTCAGCTCCAAATAAGTAAATCATTTCAAAATAGTTAAGTCAAAGAATGTAAGGGAAATACAAGAAAATGAGATATTTGTACAATTTTAAGTGGATCTCCTCCAGTGATTAGAAACTTCGTAACAGCGACCTCTCTGCTTTAGCTAAAAAACAACCAGAATTACATTATCATATTAAAAGTGTTTAATTTCTGTGGTATAGTGTTTATTAAACACGGTTTTTTGAAGGGAGAGTATCCTTCTGGTTGAAAACAGGAAAGTAAAAATCAGCATCTTCCACTTCAGAGGTCATCTGAAGCCTCCATGATGCAGCCTTTCCTTGAAAATCCCAGCCGTACCATCCAAATCATCCTATTCATTGCCACATCCCTATGCCACTGTGAGTCTATCTTCCTGGCCTTTAGGGTACTTGGGAGAAAACTGTTTCAGTGAAGGTACAGGAGAGAAACAGTATGGATCATCCTTTGGATACATACATACCTAAAGTAGAACATGGAACAGGTTAGACTGCCTCTTGACTTAGAAAATAATTCCTTCGACTTAGAAAGTAATTCCTTCTATAGGGCACTGAGAAATCACTTTGTCTCTGTCTCCAGCCTAACAAAACTAATATGCAGCAAACATAATTGTGGTTGGTGGGGAGACCACATGAAATGATGCCACTGAAAATGATGCTTTCACCTCTGTGAGGAGCTGATTGAAAGAAACGATCTCAAGCAGAAAGAATATTACTAGTTAACCATGAGGAAATCTTTACGAGCCAATACAATTGACTTATTTCTGTTTTATCATTAAATATTCTCATATTTGGAGACAGCTAAGGAAAGATCTCAGCTTCACGGCAGAAACCGCAAACCAAATGTGATTGCCTTTAAGACCAATAAGATAAATCTGAATTTCAGAGATATTAAAATGCACAACAAAGAAAATAAATACTGGCCAACGATGATTGTAAGAAACCGAGATTCACCCCAGATACGGTAAATATTTAAAATGAACATCTTAGAATCCGTGAAATATGATACGGAGATTTCTCTGGCCCTCATTACCTGTCCTAAAGGCCACTGTCACAGAGGTACATGAGACAGGGGTTAAGCCTTTCTAAGAAAGAGCCTCCACAGCTGCGAGATTGACAACTCTTTGCTACATTTCAAGTGCCAACGGAATTTGGGAAATCACAGATACTTCCCACCAATCTTAAAGCAGTATATCTGGATAGTTCTCACCTAGCGTAGTCCTTCACTTTTCCATGGGACCTTACCTTTGTTTATTTTATGAGTCAGTTAACACCCAAACGTTTGTAGGAAATACTCATTGAGAAATCAGAACCCGGGGCGCCTGGGTGGCGCAGTCGGTTAAGCGTCCCGACTTCAGCCAGGTCACGATCTCGCGGTCCGTGAGTTCGAGCCCCGCGTCGGGCTCTGGGCTGATGGCTCAGAGCCTGGAGCCTGTTTCCGATTCTGTGTCTCCCTCTCTCTCTCTGCCCCTCCCCTGTTCATGCTCTGTCTCTCTCTGTCCCAAAAATAAATAAACGTTGAAAAAAAAAAAAAAAAAGAAAGAGAAATCAGAACCCAAGTTGGATTTTATTGTTCGATCCACCAAGCACTAAGGGATCGTAAATTCCGGGTCTGCTCATAGTAAGAAAGAAGAATCAGTGGGGCGGAGGGGGGGGGGGGCGGAATCCACCGGCAGGTGCTATTCTCTCAACCCTTTCTCTTCCCACTCCGTCCAGGTGGCTCCCTTACTTCCTCTTGCAGGTCTCAAACTTACTGTCTTTATGGATGGATTCCTTCCCCAAGGAAATGGCATACTTTGTGTTCTGTTCATCAGGACCTCCCCCTCAACCCCAGAGCCTCAGCCAATAGCCAATGTTGTGAATATCTAATCAACATAGGAATCAAAAACTTTTGTTTTTGATTCTAGTTTGAATCTAGAACTTTTGTTCTAGAACAGAATGGAGCAAGAGAACTGCAAAAGTAGTATGTCAAATCACTGAACAGAAAGGTTGATGCCATTTTTATCAAAATAGTGTGATGTTTTGAGGAAATCATCTCTTCAAAAGCGTAAGTACATGTATGGATTCTTCCTAATTATGAAGGTCTCTTTGTAAAAATCCAAAAAGTATAGCACTGTATAAAGTATATGATAGATGTTAACCTCCTATGTAATTCTACATGCAGAGATGATGGCTATTAACAGCTTGGTTATCCACTCTAATATAGAATATATAAAACATACTGTTCTGTAACTTTTTCACTTATGAACACATTAGTATTTCTAATGAGTTAGTGTTTCTAAGGACAACAGTACCTTGCACATAATAAGCGCTATATAGGTACTTAATGAATAATAAAAAACAGCAAATAATTATATAGTATTTGCTGTGTGCCTGTATTAATTCATGTAATCGTTGCAGCAACCTCAGAGGTAGGTGTTAGGCTTTTTACCCCTCTTTTAGAGGCGAGAAAACTGAAGGTCAGAGATGGAATACCCAAGTTACATGCATGGTGGTAATTGTAGAAGTTAATGCGTACAGATCGATCTCATTCTTCTTAATGGCTGCATGGGACTTTATCACATATTTTATCAGTCTCCTATTGATGCAAATTTAAATTCCTTACATATTTTTGCTGTTATAAAAAACTTTGTGATAATCTTTAACATACACTTGTGCAAATAATTGCTTTAGATAAATTATCCGAAGTTAAATTATTGAGACAAATGTATACATATCTTAAAGTTTGATTTTTATAAGAAGCAAACAAAAAGATCTCCACTAGATGATACCAAATAATGTTTCCTCACACCCTCTTTATTGCTTTCATCCTAATTGTCTTTTATAAGTAATCTGGTTTTTTGCTTCGATAGTTTAAGATCACCTCTTTTTGTTTGATGTTTATTATGATGCATCTGGGGGTGAAACTATTTACATACGTGTTCTTTGTTTTTACTGATTGGGACTCCATGTGCTTCTTGTACTTGAAGATTTATGTCTTTCATTAATTTTGGCAATTTCTCGGTCATTATGCTTTTGGGTATAGCCTCTCTTATATGTTCTCTTTTCTCTCTTTCTGTAATGCATATCCCTAATTCTTTCTTTAATTCTGTTTTATCTTTTCCATTTCTCTGCACTGAATTCCAAGTTCTGAAGAGATGACTTCTAATGTGTACATTATCTCCTTATCTCTAGCATACTGTTACTCATCCACTGAATGTTAGTTATAATCCTATTTTTTCATTTGTTAAAATTGTGTAATTCTGCTTTTTTTCTTCTAATGTCTTTTTCGTTCTTTTTCTCCTTTTGTGTCTTAATTCATTTAAACATATTTAATTTTGAGTCTCTATTATATTGTGTTAGCTAAATTTCCTGGGCTTTTGATCCCTTTGTATATTACATCTGCTGACTATCACTTAAGGCCGTTTGTTTTCAGTGGGTGCTATAATTTTGCCTTGTGAACTCCTCCTCAGTATGGCTTTCAGTATGAAAATCCTGTGTAACCTGGGTCAGGTATTTTTTTAAGCTTTTTGGTTATTAACTTTTTTTGGCCTGGAATCAATTTTTATGTTAATTTCTCTAGCTGTGGAACCCCAGTCTCTGCTGGCAGTATGAATTCACTATCAGACCTACGTGAGATATAGTCCTGAGCACTGAATACAGATTGATTCATTTAAAAATGTGGTGGTTTGGGGGCCCTGGGTGGCTCAGTTGGTTGAGTGGCCGACTTTGGCTCAGGGCATGATCTCACGGTCCGTGAGTTCGAGCCCTGCGTCGGGCTCTGTGTTGGCAGCTCAGAGCCTGGAGCCTGCTTTGGATTCTGTGTCTCCCTCTCTCTCTGCTCCTGCCCTGCTTGTGCTCTGTCTCTCTCTCTCTGTCTCAAAAATAAATAAACTTTTTTTAAAAAATGAGGTGGTTTTCTCCCTCACACCTGCAGTGCAGAGACAGACAAGCCTCTTCATTGTCTTTCTGTCATCAAATAGAATTTTTCTGATCCATCTTTTTACTTGTGTGATTCTAACTTTTATAGAAGGTTCCCAGTGCTAACCTCCACTTTCCAGGGGCCCAAGACCTTGTCTCCTGTTCCTTTAAGAGTCTTAAAATCAATATTCTAAGTTGTAGATATGGGCATCTGTGTCATTACCTCCAGGACGATGCAGAACCAGCTCATGAGCTTA